CACATTAAAAAGAATAAATTAAAAATTAAAAAAATAAAAAATTAAGAGCTGTACAAAGGATTTCTTTATAAAAATTGAACCCATTTCAAACTGAGCAAAATATATACAGGAATAGAAATAAAGAGAGTTGACTATTCACATTCAACTAATTCCTTTAATCCCTTTCATCCCTGTTTCAATCATGTCATTTCCCTCCTCTTTGGCCAAGTCAACCTCTCATTGCCTTCCCTTTATCTTTAATCCCTCACCAATCATTTCTGCCTTCCTCATCTCAAGCTATGTAATCCTTTCTTTTCCTTCCTGCTTCTCCACTCAGTTTGTCAATGTCCTCACTTCCTGTTCCATACAATTCCTCTGTTTTGATCTTCTTCTGTGTTAGCTTCTAAACCCTCATGTTTCCCAAACCCTTTCCCTCTTTGAATTTTCTATGAACCCTCCCCCTGTAATCTCTTAAATCTGTTAGATCAGTTTATTTCATCTGCAGCCCTATTGCCAGCACCTCTGCCTTGGGGCCCCAGGGCATGTTACCTGTTACCTTTTTTTGGTGGGGAGGTAACGAGGTAACTGCCCAGAGCCCCCCCACCCAAATTTTTGCCAGACTTATTTTCAGACTTATTTTCCCTCAATTACATAAGCTTGATATTTTCTTTTTGACATTATGTAATTTTTTTCACAGGTAAGCAGGCTGTCACACAATCAAGGTAACCTGTAGGCAACCCAGATTTTACCTGGGTAACTGCCATGTTACCTGGGTAACTGCCATGTTACCCGGGTAACTGCCATGTTACCTGGGTAACTTCCATGTTACCCGGGTAACTGCCATGTTACCTGGGTAACTGCCACGTTACCTGGGTAACTGCAATGTTACCTGGGTAACTGCCCTGTCACCTGGGTAACTGCCATTTTACCTGGCAGACACCCATTTTACCTGGGTTACTGCCATGTTACCTGGGTAAATGGCATGTCACCTGGGTAACTGGCATGTCACCTGGGTAACTGCAATGTTACCTGGGTAATTGACATTTTACCTGGGTAACTGGCATGTCACCTGGGTAACTGCCATGTTACCTGGGCAATTGGCATGTTACCTGGGTAACTGGCATGTTACCTGGGTAACTGGCATGTCACCTGGGTAACTGGCATGTCACCTGGGTAACTGCCATGTTACCTGGGTAATTGGCATGTCACCTGGGTAAATTGGATTGGGATGTGACTCAGGCAACTAACCATATCACACAGTAACACAAGCAACTGGGAGTTTGCTTACATAACCACGGATGCCATCCATGTAAAACAATCATGGGACTCCATCCAGGGAACATAAGATGCTATATAGTTAGTGTGAAGACAGAAAGATGTCTTCGGGGGAGAATCGAACTCATGACCTCAGCTAATTGCAGACCCATAGGACAATGCTCCCTTTACCAACTAAGCTACAGACCTTGTGACTGCCAAAGCAGTTGGGTGGTACTACTCATGGTTTGACAAAACATTGACATGACCATCATTATCTCATTTACTCCAGTCATACTAATACACCAAAACATAAATCCCCTCACCAACCTCGTAACCTTAAAATGTAAATTAATAATTCTAATTTTAATTAAGACTCCACCCCCATAGAAGCATCAGTTAAATAAAGTATATGCTTCTGTGGGGGTTGACATTCATTTGAAATTAAGATTATTATAAAAAAAATCTACTCGCAAACTACCAGCCATTAGCGAGTAACCCCTTGGAATTAAGCCATACTGAAGAGCAACTAGCACACAGTCTGAATCTTAAAAGGAATTAGGATTATTAAAAATAAAATTAACTCGCAAACCGCCAGCCTTTAGCGAGTGACCCCCAGGAACAACAAGCATACAGTCTCAATCTAGCCAAGTAAAAATCAATCACTATCACAAGGCAAAGCACATCAAGCACATCAGTCAGCCACCCCATCACCAGCCTCCCATGTTAAAATCTTCCCATCAGACTTCCCATTCTCTATCCCTTTTTGGCTCTCGGCTCTCTCTCCCCCTCTCCCCACTCTCTGTCTTCTCATCTACAATCTCCCCACCTCCCTTCTTCTCTGCTTGCTTCTCTTCTCAACCACATCCAACTTATCAAACTCTCAATTTGAATTACAACTTGGACTCTTACTCAAAAAACACCAAAAACCGGCCACTCCCCAACTCCTCAAGGTTGGTTCCCCCAGCAGCCAACTACCCGACATTCTCCCCATAACCCCAACTTACAAACTCACTCCTCCAAACTCTTCCCCCTCAGACTTCAAGCACCCCAGCCCCACTGTCCTAACAATACATCCTCCAATCAATCCTTCCTTCTCACCCAACTCTCCCTGCCTATCCAACTCTGCATCTTCTCCCCACTTGACTTATATTTTCCATCTATCTTTTCTCTTCTTTTACACCCTCATCGCTTTCAATACCACATTGACTCTCAGCTCCCAACCTCAAAGTATCTCCTCAACTCTCAGAGCTCAATCATTGACACCTGTACACCAAAACATAAATCCCCCACCAACCTCTTAAAGGTCCTACACAATTCAACAACAATAATTTTAATTAAACATCCACCACCACAGAAGCATCAATCAAAAAAAATATACACATAACTGGAGGTGGATGTTTAATTTAAATCAGTATTATTATGAATAAAATTTACTCGCAAACTACCAGCCTTTAGCGAGTAACCCCATGGAACACAGCCAGGCTCAAGAAAAAAAAACTCCGGCTCCCAACCTCAAAGTATCTCCTCAACTCTCAGAGCTCAATCATTGACCCCTGTACACCAAAACATCAATCCCCCACCAACCTCTTAAAGGTGCTACGCAATTCTAAAGTTATAATATTAATTAAACATCCACCACCACAGAAGCATCGATAAAAAAAAATATACACAGTTGTGGCGGTGGATGTTTAATTTAAATCAGTATTATTATGAATAAAATTTACTCGCAAACTACCAGCATTTAGCGAGTAACCCCATGGAACACAGCCAGGCTCAAGAACAAAAAGCATACAAATCTAGCCAGGCAAAAATCAATCACCATCACAAAGCAAAGGCAATCAAGCACATCAGTCCCCCACCAACCTCTTAAAGGTCCTACACAACCCAATAATCATAATTTTAATCAAACATACACCACCACAGAAGCATCAATCAAAAAAACATACACATAACTGGCGGGGGGATGCTCCAATTCAAATCAGTATTATTATGAATAAAATTTACTCGCAAACTACCAGCCTTTAGCGAGTAACCCCATGGAACACAGCCAGGCTCAAGAACAAAAAACTCTCGCTCCCAGCCTCAAAGTATCTCCTCAACTCTCAGAGCTCAATCATTGACACCTGTACACCAAAACATAAATCTCCCACCAACCTCTTAAAGGTCCTACCCAATTCTACAATCATAATTTTAATTAAACATACACCACCACAGAAGCATCAATCAAATAAAATATACACATAAGTGGCAGTGGATGTTTAATTTAAATCAGTAACATTATGAATAAAATTTACTCGCAAACTACCAGCCTTTAGCGAGTAACCCCATGGAACACAGCCAGGCTCAAGAACAAAAAGCACACAAATCTAGCCAGGCAAAAATCAATCACCATCACAAAGCAAAGGCAATCAAGCACATCAGTCAGCCAGCCCATCACCAGCCTCCCATATTAAAATCTTGTCATCAGACTCCCCATTCTCTATCCCTTATGTGCTATTGTCCCTCTCTGGCGCTCCCCACTATCTGTCTTCAATTCTACACTCCCCCCTCCTTTCTTCTTTTTTGCTCCAACCTCTTCTCAACCACATCTAAGTCATCAAACCCTCAAAGCAATCACAACCTCAACTCTTACCCAAAAAACTACAAAAACCGGCCACTCCATTACACTTCAAGGTTGGTTCCCCTAGCAAATAAATACCCAACATTCTCCCCATATCTTCAACTACCAAACTCACTCCTTCACACCCTTCCGCCTCAGACCTCAAGCACCCCAACTCCACTTTCCATCCAATGCTCAACCACCATCTCAAACAACATTATTCAATCAATCATTCCTTCCCTGACCCAACTCTCCCTTCCTCAGTTGATTCCAAACTATCTTATTTTTTTCCTCTCTCATTTTGGTTTTTATCTAACCTCATGTCTACTTGCTCGTTTTAGTTCTGGTTTTAGTCACAGTAATATATCCTGTTTTGCATCACACCACCCACGTGCTCAGTCTCCACTGCCTCCTCATCAACATCACCCCAGCCACCCAAAAGCAATTATCTACTGGGCCGCTGTTAGTACTCCCTAAGTCTAATGGTTTAGCAAGTAAATCCAATATGTAACTCTTCACTAAGGTCACTCAAGGATTGGACTCTCAAGAAAATTATGGATTCTTATCCAGACTATTAGTACTCCCTAGGCCTAGTAGTCGAGAAAGTAACTCAGACATGTAAGTTTTCACTAAAGTATTGGGACACCTGTTTGGTGATCCTCAGGATGTTCAGAGTACATCTTTGATCCCACTCCCATGGGTCTCATCAGACCACACAATACCCAAACTAGCACTGAACAAGGGAAAAGATGGAAGCATGATTTAATTGGAAAATCTTAATAATGGAGAGGTAGATAGAGGGACATAAAAGTGAACTGTTACAACATTTGCTTTAAATATGATTGAGTGGAATGATATGAATATAGACAGATGGATAGATATACATATAGTCAGGTATGTTAGATCTCAGAATATCCTGATAAAGGAGAGGTAGATAGAGAGTTATAAAGTTGAGCTGTTACAACCTTTGCTTTAACTATGATTGATTGGAATGATATAGATAAATATAAATGTAGTCTGGTATGTTAGGTCCCACAAAATCCTGATAAAGGAGAGGTAGAGAGAGAGTTTTAAATGTGAACTGTTACAACATTTGCTTTAACCATGATAGATTGGAATGATAAGAATGTAGACAGATAGATAGATATAAATGTAGTCAGGTACGTTACGTCTCCCGAGACCTATTCTCAATGAAAGCAACCACTAGTTTGATGATATTTGGCCAGGGTGCAGGGCCATGAGTAGCATCGGTTACACCCATCCAAATGGAGTATTCCTTGGCCGACAGATCCTCAATTCCTGGGAAAATAGAGCCCAAGACTGCAGGTTCCTCCCGGTAGAGGTACCAACCCACTGCTTCGGCTATTCCATCAAAATTACTATCACATTGATTCATAACTTTGTTTTCGGGGTGGAAGCCAAAGCGATCCTGTTTACCACTGGGTAAAGCACACCTGTAGCAGACCTGGAAAGACCGGCCCCTAGTACCTGCGCCAACCGAAGAGGATAAAGACATGGCTGGGCAGCTTTTGACCCCATGTCCATCAGGCCCATTTTGGTCTGTAACCATTCATTCATCAAAAAAAAAAAATTCAGAAGAATTATCAGTATGTGTGAGGCCACCAATAGGGAAAAGGAATAAGAAATAGGAAACATACCCAAACGGCACCTAAGACATTTCCCATGCTTCTCCCTGCATCGCTCCCCAGAGAAGTGCTTGATGAAATCACCACGTCTACAGTAGCATTCAGGACAGGTACCTTTTGCCTTAACAATAAAGTCGGCGAGTATCTGGTATTGTGACTCCACTTTGGCCGCTTCACCTTGAGCATGGGTTGAGTCCAACGTATTTGCAATGGTTTTACTGGAAGATGGTGCTGATTGGCCTTGGACTCTTTTTTCTTCAGCAATGCGTGCAACTTTTCGAATATTCTGCGGCTCCATAACTTGCATGTTTGCACGAGTCAAAGGCACCTCAGGGCTCCTGGTTCGTTTTGGCCTCCCGGGTACTTGAATTGCAACAGGCGTGGGAGTTTCTGAGCTTTGATTGTCATCTGAACCACTAGCTACTGATAAGGTTGGGCGTTCTTCACTTTCATAAGGTGTGGTCTCACCTAAGTTGATGCTCAATTTTGTACAAACTGAGCAGGAATGATGTTGGGGATAATTGTGACAGGACCTCACATCAACATCTTCATACTGCGAAAAGACTTGGGCAGGACACCGAGAGGGGTTCATGAGTAACTTCTTGAATTCGTCCATCACAGTATGGTTGGGTTGCCATATATCTGTGGTTTTGGCAACAATCTCGATTCTTGCTGGTTGCCCATCCCGTCCTGCTCGACCGATTTGCTGATAAGCTTTGTTAGCTTCCAATTGGTTGGGGATACCATATATGACCACCAGTCTAACGTGTGGATAGTTAATACCAGCACCAAAGCCACTGGTGGCCACAATGGTGCCCTTGTTGTTCTGGAGCCATAGTTGAGAATTTTGCTCCCTCTCAGAGTCATTTAAGCCAGAGTGGTGGTAGGGCAGATTGAGTGAGCCAGCAATGGAGGTCACAAGGTCACGATTTTCGATAAAGATCATTGCACGGTCTTCTTGCTTCTGGAGGTATGTGGATATGAGGAGCGAACAAAGATTGGGTAGGTCTTGAGGGATGACAGGATTGCGGTGTATCTCGATCTGCAGCTCGGGTCGAAAGGTGGAAGCCCGGTGGGTAATCATAGTCCTCCTTCTGAAGATGTTTGATATCAAATGATTTTCTTTTTTTGGAGGGAGTGAGGCCGTCATAAGAACCAGCTGACTACAGAGTTGTCCCAGAGCCACCACACCAGGGAGATAATTGCGGTAAGTGTCTTCTAGGAATGTATGACACTCATCAATGATAATCCGGGTGGGAAGGTTTGATCGTAGCTGGTTATGAAAGTCCACTGATGCTGCGTCATCCGAGAGAGCAACTATGATTTGAGCATGAGGGTCTATGATGTCGTTTTCCCTGTATAGTTGATATCGAACCCCATCCAATTTCTCCAAGTCTTTGAGTGTCTGGCTCACTAGAGCTTTCAGTGGTTGAACAAGAATGAGGCGTTCGTCCCGGAAGACCAAAGGGGGCAAGCAGAATGCCAAAGATTTCCCTGCTCCAGTTGGAGCCACTACTAAAAAGTCATGGAGGTCATCTTCAAAGAGGTTGGTTAGCCACTTGTGCTGGAAGCTTGTACGAAAGCGGGCATCAGGGTCGTGGGTGAAGATTGTGAGTGCCTGCCTAGCTTTCTCAGGAGGTGCAAGAGAGGCAGGAACTGGCAAGAGAGGCTCATTGAAAGCCAAGTGGGATTCAATCTAGGAGTGCAAGACTGGTAAGTATGGCATGATTATGAGTAGAGATAAAACCCAATTAAGCCACTTACCCCCCAAAAAGACTGCCAGACCTCACTAGCCCTCATGAAATTAGTTTCGGCATCCCGCACCACACCAGAGCCACTGCTAAAGCCATAGAGTAGGTTTGCTGTATGAGAGGTATGGTTCCTCTGGAGATCCATCACGTTATGAAGTCCCATTTCTTCTTCGAGGTCTTCTCGATTAGATAGGGTGTCGGCCAATACTTGCGTGGGTAGTCTCTTGCTGAGGTGCGCCGCTGTAATACTGACAGAGGCCTGTCGCCATGACCGGATCCCTAAGGCATCACAACCACCGCGAGAAAAATGCTTCTTGAGAATGCGAGTAAAGTCTTCAGTTTCTAATCGTCCACGCCTAGAGCTCATCCAGAGAAAGTCTTCCATATCTCTTGCTACTTCATGTTGATCTAGTGCACGCAGGATTAAGCTTTGGATTTAAAAAGAGGGGGTAGGGATCAATTGTTAGTCTAGGGTTAGGTTTATAATATATATACAATGAGTTAAGACCATCTTACATTTGGACCGGCCTGATGTAGGCCAAATAATTATGCAGCTGCATGGATAATTCTCCAGTCAGGTAAACTTGGCGAGGTTTGGAGCGATGGGAGACGTTCTGCCCTTTGTGGTACCAGGTCTGGAGCATTATCCTATCTGTTCTCCAGTACACACTCCTAGGAGCGGAGTTTGAATTTCGAAGCAGCATACAAGTCTCTTCAGTTCCCCTTGCTGGTTGGCCACATCCAACGTGGTAGATAAAGTAGATCATCTCAAGCAAAGTGTCTACATTTTCAAGCCACCTCCAAGCACTAGGGGGAGAAAAGAACTCGTTCAGGTTAAATTCAGGTTGATCGAGAACTTCCTGCCAGTTGTCCGCCAGGATGCCACGGCTGCCCTCCTCGGCGCTATTGACCCAATCGTGGAGCAGCTCGTATTCAAATAGTTGGTTGTTTGATGAGGTTGATAAATAGTTGTAGTGCAAGGCATTGTTAGCCAAGTGGTCTTCGAATTTGGATGGTAAGAAATCTGGCAAGGTGGCACCATTGAGGATCATTTGGAATTGTGTGGAGAGTGCAGTCATGGTAGCACGGAGGGCGGTTTGAATGCCAATAATAGTGATAGTCGAGGTTCCTACTACTAGTTTTGTCATCTCCGAGTCTGCCCAGCGGGTGGAATTGGGTAATTGTTGATTCATAATGACACTAGTTGCCAATCGCATCCAGTCCCGAAGTGTCTGGAAAGGTGAAGCTCGAGATTGGCTGGATATCCAAGAGAAATGTGCCTTCATAAGACTTAGTTCAGCATCGTTGGTTGGATCGTTAGGGTCTTCCAATTCTTCTTCTGATTCGATATTGGTAATCCAGCTGAACATGGTCCCAAGTCGAATAGCATATTGCACGGCTGCAATATTGTGGGTCATCTCCCGAGGTTGATGGAAAGTGCCGTGTTCCTTGAGCATGGAGAGTGCGATAAATTGTTCGAGGGCTGATTGGATACGGGAGCGTTTAGCCAATGAGCAGGAGAAAGAGATGAAGTGAAACATCGCCTGATCCAAGAGATTTTGAGTCAGGTTTGCGGGCGGTGGAGTTGTATCGTTCAGGCACCTCGCCAAGGCTTCCATTGTGATGGCGAGTTGCGATTGCTTCTTTGACCAGAAAGAAGCCAATGGAGTTCCCGAAGCCTTCCACGTAAAGACCAGAAGGGCTGTGACTGTTTGTGAATACCTATCCCGTGTTCGTTTCTCTTGAAGTGGGGATAAGCCCACAGTTGGGGCCTCTTTGTCCCTATGGTTACCAAAAATAAGATAAGATGAGTTGGGGCTTCTAGTCTGCTGGTTGAAGAGCAAAACAACAAAGAGAGAAAAAAACTATCAGATTAAGTCATTACTTACGTAGATTCCATAGTGGCTTCCTTTCTAAGTCCATAGTGTAAGTCCTTCAAACCTTCCATACGGCTAGACATCCAAGCCGTGACATGGGGTAACCACCCGGCTGCCTCGTCCTCAAAGTGAATCAAATTGTAGAGGTTGACAGATGGGGTGGGAAACAAGTTCTTGCAAAGCTGTATGTGTTGATAAACGCCAGAAATCTGTAGATAGATACTGATCAAGGATGGGTGAGGCTCAGCCTCACCTTCACCTTGAACGCCCTGCTTCATCTTGGCCAACACTTTTCCGAATTTGATCCAATAAGTAGGTCGGTCGTCTTGGCCTTGTATAACTTCTTTGGCTTGGTGGCCTTCCACGATGGAAGGGGACGGTGGTCGATAGTTGACACAAAAGTAGCTGATGACTGGCTTGGTTAAGTGCTGTACATAGTTTCGTTGGCAATTCTTGCTCCATTTACCATCCGCATCTGAAAATGATCACAATTGCAAGGTAAGTATGAGTGGATCTTGTTGGAAAAACAGGGGAGAAGATATGAATCTCTTGCCTTTGTGTACTTCATAAAAGTGATTACGGATTGTCTTTTCCTTGTAAGTCGTATATCCACAGATGTTGCCATTCGTCTTGACAGTACAGAGGTAACCAAGGTACATCAGAAGGCCTTGCACAGGGTCACAGGCTTCCAGATGACTAGTTCTTGGAGGATATTTGGGTGAGGTGTCGGGCAGCAGTATGCCATGGGTGAGGTAGTCACGCCTGATATCGGCTTCAACAATTTTCTCCTTGTGAGTATGGGCCATGTGTGACTCCACCTCATTCGGAGGAACCCCCGTATGGCATTTGAGACAAATGAGTATCTCGGCGTAGCGGTTATATCCCAACCACTTGGAGTACTCCGGTATCACTGGAAGATAAGCAACAACCCTTTGGTTAGCCTCTAATTTACAAGCCACAGAGAGGAGGGACATACCAATCACTTGATCTTGTATCGGCACAAGGGTACATTTAGAATCAGGTGGAGCTATCATGTCCCTTTTGACAGCTAAAGCAGCAGGGTCGCAATTTTTGACATGCCTTTGGATACGGACCGGGTCGTTGCTTGTTTCAGTACAGTTTTCGGTCGGGCAGGCAAATGTGCCGTCTGGTCCTCTAGGGATAGCAACTAAGGTCTGCACCGAGCCGTAAAGAGCGCAAGTCACATGAGTCTGGTGAACTAATCTCTGGTGCTTCTTGAGCTCATTTGCACTCGCAAATGACAGTTGGCAGTCATCTTTGCCGCAGAGTTGGAGAACTGGAACTTCTTCGGTAGGGTGAACAGACATTGTAGAGGATATGAGTTTCTAGAGTAGTTTGGGTTGATATCTTTGGTGGAATTTGGGAATAAGGTGGACTGTGTATGTGTGCGTAGTGTTGAAAAGCTGGGTGACCAGGGTATCTTTGAGGAACTTGGAAATGTATATTTTTGCAAAAATTTTGCCAAGAAATCTTCCTTCAAGTGTTTGAGTATGATCTGCCTGTTAGGGAGTTGATCAACCTTACATTAGTCTTGGGCAGTAAGATGAACAAGGGTTGTGAACAGCTCACTTATTTTTCATGATGTAAATGGATGCTGATACTGTTACCTACCAGCTTGCGAAGGTGGATAGTAAGTCAAGATAGTTAATATGGGTGATAAATCTTACTTGCTAGATGCTGATTCCTCGCGAGTGACTGATCATACTTGGGATTGGAGGGGATGATCAGATGTAAGCCACATGAAATGTGTAGGGGGGAAGTAAAATGAAGAAGGTGTGTAAACAGCTCACTTAGCTTTGATGATGTAAATGGGTCATGATAGTATTACCCAGAAGCTTGGGAAGGTGGATGTTAAGTCAAGACAGTGAATATCGGTGATAAATCTACTTGCTAGCTACTGATTCCTTGCGAGTGACTGATCATATCTGGGATTGGAGTGGATGAACAGACGTAATCCACATGACTTGTGTAAGGGAGCATAGTGGACTTTGCCCTTACTACCAAGAATTACATCAAAGTCACAAGATGATCATTAGCAGTCATGAGTAAGAAAATGAACATGCTATGAACCACTCACTGAGGTAAGGAATCTAACACTATTACATACAAGCCGGAGTATTTCAACAAAAAGTGAAAAGTACTTATGTAAGGAATGAGGTACTCGCTAGATCCTGATTTTTAGCGAGTAACTGATCCCAGATCCTGTAAGAGTGGACTAGTCAGTAGATGATCTTTAGTACTCTTGAGTAGCAAGATGACCAGTACATGAACAGATCCCTTAGTTTCCATGGTACAAAAGGACTGTGATAGTATTACGCACAAGCCGGAGTATCTGGATGAAAAGTCAAAAGGGCTTACATAAGGAATTGTGGTACTCGCTAGATGCTGATCACTAGCGAGTAACCGATCCTATTTCCTATAAGACAGGATGGAAAAACGTAACCAACTAGACTGATGTAGTCCTTCCCGGACTATTACACATAGGGATCATAACAAACTTGATCAACAACCAAGGAATTTAGGGCTGGCAAGCATGACTGACTTACTGTAAAGCAATAGATGAATCTACTTAATCAACCACTAATATAGTATAGGACAATTTCAAACCTACTTACAGAGTCCCAGACAAGTGGCCCTCGAGTATAATACCAAACTTTGAACATTAATACTCAGAAACACATGGAACCACTTACATATACCTGGATGATTTCCCCTGCCGTCCATGACAAACTTGGATGAATTGGGTATAGTCCAAAAAGGCACTATATCTACCTGATCTAAAAAATAGTGACCTTGGCCCCAACATATTATGCTTGTCAATTATATATTTCAACTTGCCAAGTATTTGATACTCCAATTAATGATCAATAGCCATAGTATGAGTTGGGCTGTTGGTTAAGCTCATTGTGGATGATTGCTAGTCAGTAGGGATCAACGGCATGAAATAGGGCCCATTTGAACTCACCAACAGCATTTGGGGTTAGAAACTTTATCATTGTGTTTTTAAGGTATCGTGAGACACCCGCAGAGCAAAGGGTTACAGGCTTTAGTAAGCTGAATGAATTAAATAACCAAGATTACAAAAGAGCAAAAAGAGACTAGGTCAAAAGTTGTGA